AGAAATATACAGAGTCTATTCAAATCATGAGTAGGCAGCATGAGCACAGATAAATATCTATAATTTAAGCATACAGTTTCTGGCATCTGATAATAGACACACCTGGGAAGGCTAGAGACTGTGCATCTGTTCCCAACTGGGCAGCTGGGACATGTAGATTAAAGACCAAAACGTCAAAACATGGCCTTCATTCCCAAAAACAAGGCTGGCACAAATGGTACATGGCAAATAACTTTTGTTTTCTGCATTTTAATGTTTTCTCTCAATATTTTCTACAGTCTCTCAGGAACAAAACAATATTTAATTATATTTTATCCATAATATTCTCTGAGTTCAAAGTTAGGCTAAACTGATTAGCTACCTATTCCTTTTCCGTTTCTGTTTCTTCTTATGCACAGACCTTCCAAATCATACAAAAAGCAAAAAGTGTGGGGTGGAGTGCGGGGGAAGGAGAGCCCGCTCTTTCACCTCTGATCAAGCAAGGGTCCGCAACCAATGGCTCACTACGGAGCCAGATATGACTCTTCTGGAGCCCCAACTCAGCCCGCAGCAGGGAGCCCGCACTGGCACTACAGCCTTACGGTCCTCTGTGAGACTTCTTACAGGGGAAGAAAGCCCCAAACCTTCCCGCCAGACCCAGAATGTGGGGAACAAGCGCAGCAAAAAACATCCTGTGCATTACTCTTTTCCTTCCCTGCTCATGTGGGAAACAATCAGCCAAAATGGCTCCATGCCCTTTTTGTCCTCCAGGAAACACTTGCCTGGAGGCTTCCAGCAAATGGAAGTAAGTGTCCCCCACCCTGCGTAGCGGCATTGCACAAGAGGGGTTTTCTTGCACAAGAAGGGGCAGTGTAGACGCTCCTTTTGGCACAAGAGCTTCTTCTGCAAAAATGGTGGCTCATTAGGTATGCAAATGAGGCTCAGTGATAATCCACGCTTAGCCTCATTTGCATATTTCTGGCACAAGAAGCCGCCATTGTAGACATAGCCACTGTGTAAACCATACCTCAGGATGGCCATTCTTATGTACTGTTATCTTCACTTTTTTAGAAGTGAAACTTGGGGAACAGTTATACCAACGAAGGGTCAATTTGTGCCTTAAAGCTCAGACCTCCAGTGAGAACTCCAGTGTTGCAGTTGAGATCAATGAAAGTGCCTGAGGTAGAGCCGCCTCAGAGGAAAAGAGAGTGAGCTTCCTACAGGGTGTTCTTCATAAAGACCTCTCAATTTGAATATAATTTCTTCACTTTGATCTGAAATAGCCCACACCTGTTGGTCTTCCTGTCATGTTGCAAAACCCATCTGTCTGACATGGCTCTTGGGGAGGGCTGGAGTACTTGGTAAGAAGTTTTGTCTTTGTTTGTTGGGCATGTGAAGGATTCTGAGGATTAATACTTGTTCCAACTAGTTATTATATGAGGTGCTTTAGCATTCTGCTCTGGCCAGGCCAGGTTTAGCTCACTGCAGGTGGGGTCTCCTTAGGCAGGGCCAGCCACACTGCAAGCAGAAAGTTGCTCCAGCCCAGCTGCCCTGAAGCACCCTCAACCCACGGTGTGATGCAGAGGGCCCACCCAGATTGGAGCACCCCATCTCATAGCACAGTGGGCCCAGCCACGCCACTGGTTAACAGGTTAGCAATAAGCACCACCCTTAATGGTGATGCTTATCGATTACACGGTTCCACCCCTAACTCTTAGCTAGACATGCTTCTCAAAGGGAGGCCATCTGCACTTATGTTGCCCAGTCATGCAGTTCTGTCACATCCCTTTGTAAGTCTTTGCAGCCAGCTTTGGCCCTCACTATTCTGTATCATCTGCACATTTTACCACCTCACTGCCCCCACCCCCAGTTTAAGAACATTTATAAGAAGTTTAACAGCAAAGGGTCCAAATGCAGATCCCTGCAGTAGCACCATTCTTTATTCCTATTCTTTGCCTGCCTTTTAAGCGGCGGGTACCCGGCAATGTCTTCATGAGGGCTAAGGGTCTTTCAAGGACTTGACTGACTAGCCCTTTGTGAGCTCAATCACCCTGCCTCCCTCTGGCCATGAACAAGCTCCCTGCCCAAAGGCAAAGGATGGCAGGTAAGAGCTGCCTCTGCAGCTGGGAACTGCGCTGTAAGCCCGCTGCAAGTATGACATTCAGGGGTTCAAACTGGTGCCCCTCCATGTAGGACTCTGTTTTCTTGTATACCACCTTGGCCTTGCATGCTTTGTATGGTTGGGAGAAAATAGAAATAATGCTTTGTTTTGAAGCAGTTATTTTTATATCACTTCAATCAGTGGCTGTTGCAGGTACCTGAAGGAAAAGCCACAATGCGCATGCGTGCTCATTGCACACTCCCCCTCAGCTGTTGGGGCCGTAAAGGGGGCGGAGTTGCGGGCCCCCACACTGTTCGTGGGGCGCATGCGCGGTAAGCACCCGGAGACTCGCTGCGTACCCGCGCACGCGGTGTCGGTTATTTTTATATCACTTCAATCAGTGGCTGTTGCAGGTACCTGAAGGAAAAGCCACAATGCGCATGCGTGCTCATTGCACACTCCCCCTCAGCTGTTGGGGCCGTAAAGGGGGCGGAGTTGCGGGCCCCCACACTGTTCGTGGGGCGCATGCGCGGTAAGCACCCGGAGACTCGCTGCGTACCCGCGCACGCGGTGTCGGTTGCGCGTACGATTGGTCGCCCGTCAGGGCCGCGGCGGCGGGCGCGGCGGCGGCT